AGGATGTTTATACTTTGCAAGTTGCATCCTGAGATGAAAGGCTATACAATGTGTTCAACATAATGACTTTGTTCGACTTTCAATCACAGGGGTGAAATGTTCAAAAAAAAAATAACAGGGTCTTTTGAATGAATTTTAATCATAAATACTGATATTTTGCCTGTAGCTTTATTTTAGATCACTTTTAAGGTTACAAGTGTGAGTTTTATACCAGGTGAGCGATGCAGGCCCATTGGGCCTCTTGTTTTTCTCTCTTGTTGTTTGGTTTGCTTATTTTTCTTATATAGTTTTTACTCTATGTTGATGTTATATTGTTTTAATGGTTAATTGGTGCAATTAGTTTCTGTTATTTTTAAAGGTTATTACAGCTCTTTTTTTATCAGGTCTGTTCTAGAACCACATATATGTGGGGCAGGAAGGCACCTTTTTGTGACCTCCATTAACTATATTTTTTTCCGTGGCCCACTATACTATCAATCATTAACACCACCACACATACATTGTAAGCGCCCCATTCACATACATTCATATCTGGAATAGCTAATTTGTGGCAATGCAAGTGAGGTATAATGAAACTACAGGAGCTACCCTATGAGACTTGACCCAAGGCCAGTGAAATGGAGGTTACATCTTGGCTATTATGATTCTTGAAACAAAGTCACAAGTTCTAATAGAAATCATAATATTTATAAAACGTAATACATGTAAATTTGATATTTTATTTAAATGAATATTTCATGTATTCTTATATTGGCATCATAATTATGCAATATCTAACAATAAGTTGTTTTCTGACAATATGTTATAAGTTTACCATAAATTGTTAGTTTGAAATGCACGAGATATGCTTTTAATATATCATTAATAAAAATCTGGAAGTGGATATGATGTTTTTGATATTTATTGTATCGATGCTAAATCACCAATGTTTAGCATTGACTTAACTTTGTCGAATTACAAATTCCTTTCCTAGATATTCTCATACTTTACCAATTCATTGATCAAAACCGGTTCAGAAATGAGGTCACTGGAGCAATGTCGAAGATGTTTTATAATTAGAAACAAGTGACCTTCACTTTGGAATCAACCCGAAACATAAACTCCTTTGAGGTACAATGTATTCCCACACTGATATGAAGTTTTATTTATATCGTACATTCAGAGATGATGTCCCTGGAGTGTTGACATTTTCAGATAACAGTGAACTACGTACATGACCTTCACAGGTAACAGTGACCTTCAAATTCATGACCTTCACACATACCCTGAAATGTGGAATTGTTTGAGGTATTATTAAACCTGACCGCTGAAAAATTTGTTAAAAGTGAAGTCACTAGAGTGATTACAACTTTGACGCCATCTTGTTCTTGTGTCAAGCTCCAAAATTGACAATTCACAGCTACAGACCAGTGGAAACCTACTTGTGAAATTTGAGAACAATGCCTCCAGGGCCCACTTGTATACAAGAGGCCCAAGGGCCTTAGCGGTCACCTGAGTTATATCATAGGTACTGGTAGCTTTATTTTATTGTTTAGATGTGATGTGTAAATCAGCATGTAAACTAAGTGAAATACAATACTTGTCATGTCATCAATGGATAAGAATTTGAAAAAAATGGTAAATGTTCCCTTTGGGGCCCCGCCCTAGCCCCTGGGGATGGGGCAGGAATCCTAATTTTACAAAGTAAAACTCTCATTTACCCAAGATGATTCTGACTAAGTTTGAGCAATTTTCTGCTGAAAATGGATAAAATATATACCGAAAAGTGTTATTTCCCTATATAAACTATATTAAACGTTACCCCCTCCCCAAGGGAGAACGGATAGCTCGGGGTCCTGATATTTTCAATTTAAATAAAGCCCCTGATGATCTTTCTTTCCACGTAAAGAAAATCACTGTAGTACCTCTGAGTCTGGAGAAGAAGATTTTTGAAATATTGATTAATTTTCCCTTTGGGGCCCCGCCCTGGCCCCAGGGGTCGGGGTAGGAATCTCAATTTTACAATTTGAAACCATCTACCTCCAAGGATAATTCTCACCAAGTAAAAATAATTTCCTACAGAAAGTTGTCAAAATATACCCAAAAGTGTTATTTCCCTATATAAACTATAGTAAACTTTACCCCCTCCCCAAGGGAGAACGGATAGCTCGGGGGTCCTGAAATTTACAATTTAAGTAAAGCCCCTGATGATCTTTCTTTCCACGTAGAGAAAATCACTGTAGTACCTCTGAGTCTGGAGAAGAAGATTTTTGAAATATTGATTAATTTTCCCTTTGGGGCCCCGCCCTGGCCCCAGGGGTCGGGGTAGGAATCTCAATTTTACAATTTGAAACCATCTACCTCCAAGGATAATTCTCACCAAGTAAAAATAATTTCCTACAGAAAGTTGTCAAAATATACCCAAAAGTGTTATTTCCCTATATAAACTATAGTAAACTTTACCCCCTCCCCAAGGGAGAACGGATAGCTCGGGGGTCCTGAAATTTACAATTTAAGTAAAGCCCCTGATGATCTTTCTTTCCACGTAGAGAAAATCACTGTAGTACCTCTGAGTCTGGAGAAGAAGATTTTTGAAATATTGATTAATTTTCCCTTTGGGGCCCCGCCCTGGCCCCAGGGGTCGGGGTAGGAATCTCAATTTTACAATTTGAAACCATCTACCTCCAAGGATAATTCTCACCAAGTAAAAATAATTTCCTACAGAAAGTTGTCAAAATATACCCAAAAGTGTTATTTCCCTATATAAACTATAGTAAACTTTACCCCCTCCCCAAGGGAGAACGGATAGCTCGGGGGTCCTGAAATTTACAATTTAAGTAAAGCCCCTGATGATCTTTCTTTCCACGTAGAGAAAATCACTGTAGTACCTCTGAGTCTGGAGAAGAAGATTTTTGAAATATTGATTAATTTTCCCTTTGGGGCCCCGCCCTGGCCCCAGGGGTCGGGGTAGGAATCTCAATTTTACAATTTGAAACCATCTACCTCCAAGGATAATTCTCACCAAGTAAAAATAATTTCCTACAGAAAGTTGTCAAAATATACCCAAAAGTGTTATTTCCCTATATAAACTATAGTAAACTTTACCCCCTCCCCAAGGGAGAACGGATAGCTCGGGGGTCCTGAAATTTACAATTTAAGTAAAGCCCCTGATGATCTTTCTTTCCACGTAGAGAAAATCACTGTAGTACCTCTGAGTCTGGAGAAGAAGATTTTTGAAATATTGGTTAATTTTCCCTTTGGGGCCCCGCCCTGGCCCCAGGGGTTGGGGTAGGAATCCCAATTTTACAATTTTAAAGCCTCATCTACCAAGGATGATTCTGACCAAGTTTGAAAAAAATCCATCCACTGGTTCTTGAGAAGAAGTTGAAAATGTAAAAGTTTACGCACGACGACGGACGAAAAGCGATTAGAATAGGTCACTTGAGCAAAGCTCAGGTGACCTAAAAACATCTCAAAGTTAAGGAAAATCTCAAGCAATGTATTGTCTATGGAAAATCTTAGACTTGAGGAAATCTCAAGAGTTGAGATGTTCTATACAATGGGCCCAGTACTTACAAGATACAACAATAACATAATTTATATGTAAAAATACAAATTGGTCACCTTGCAGCCATCTTCTTCCAAGAGCCAGCCAGTTAGGATTCTTGGGCTTCATCACGATGCAAACAGTTGGACCCGAGTTGTTTATGAAATAAGGTGACCCTAGTAATATAATGTTGCTTTCAGGCGAGACTTGCAAGTCCACCAGGATTTATACCTGAAAATGTTACATATAAAAACAAACAATCATCCGGTTGGACCGAATATGCAAAAGGGGCCTTGGTATTGGTACATTATACCTTGGATTTCTTTACTGGTACATTTAACTTAAAGTAATGAATTCTCTAGAGCTGCAGAATGGACTAAATTTAATGTCATCTTGGATGCATGTGGGAGATTGGGAAGAGCATAAATTCACTTCCCAACAATCTCTGAAGAAAGGGCCATAACTCTGTATGTAATGGGGCACAAAACTCAATTTCAGTATGTGTCATTCTAACGGCGCACAAAACTCAATTTCGGTATGTGTCATTCTAACGGCGCACAAAACTCAATTTCGGTATGTGTCATTCTAACGGGGCACAAAACTCAATTTCAGTATGTGTCATTCTACCAAAGAGGTAATCACATACACAATTAACCAATTCTAAGTATCATTAAAGAGTATATGGGATATGGCCTGGATAAAGTGACATATCGGCTGACTGACTGAGTACAAACTTATCCTCTCCTCTTGTTGTACCAATCAAAAACAAAAACAGAAACAAAAACAGAAACAACAGATGCACTTGTTTTTTTCAGTTTTATTTAACCACATACAGTACACTAGTTTGTATCTTGTATTGGTCTCACTCATGTCTCACTCTCTTCCATCCATTCAAAATGTTAAATAGCTCTATAAGAATATTGTGAGTATAAAAAGTTGTACAAGATATGATACTTGAAGACATGTACACAACATGCACACCATGGAAACGGAATACTTCAATGAATAACAAGTAATAGTGTTACTCGCATGTCATCATTTTTACACAACACTCATGATCATGATCGAATAAATGTCAAATTATACACACTTTTAATAAACATTTTTTCTAACATTATGGACAAAAAATGTACATCATGCCAAAAAGAACTATGTAAATTACATGGAACTGGCATGTCCTGACTTAAATAATAATTACAAAATATTCCACTAACTATCATTATTTGCAACTATTTAAAAATTAGAAATAAACCACAAAATTAAAATGTACACAGTATGGTATGTACTTCAAACAGAACTGTATGTACAACCATCAATATTTCTTTCTCCCTAAAACTGCTTTAGAAATTTTAGATTCACTTAAGAACTTTTCTTTAAAAGTATCAAATCCTTACCCAGCTATTTGGCATATCAACAATATTAATAGTCATGTAAATGTTGACAAATGATCATTAAAATACCAATGTATATGTATGCCATGACAAATACTGGTCAGAGGTCAGCATTAATGTTACGAGTTAATAACCTATACTACTAGCTACCATTTAACAGTATTAAGTGAGGTAAAGCTAGCACACCAGACAAATATGGGGCTTTTATAGCCGTATTGAGATTATCTCCTTTCTATTCCAATTACAAAACATCATTGGCCTGATAAAACAAAAATGTTTCTGTATTTTTCATGATTTATTTCAGCTTTTTTTAAAAGAATTTTTTGAAATAAGATCAGCACATCCATATACACATTATGTATGTGCGTCAGTAAAAGACGGACTCAAGATCATGTATCAAAGGTTTAAAGATAACTTTGCCTCTCTCCAAATTTTTTTTTCCAGGCAAAAATTCTCCATGAAATAGCATTTCTTTTAATTTTGGATTCAGTTACAGCCACGATCGGATCCCATGATAGAATGAATTCTTTCAAATACATTGAGTCAACAGCTTGTTTTCTTGCACAACATTATGATAAAAGTAACTGGACAAAAAAACTTTCAATAGCATAATTAATCCTGTATTATTCCTTAATACTGTAGGGATAGTGTACTGTATATATATATATGGGCACTGCCAGCAGTTCAGGGCCAGTAATTATAACTTAGCAATGTAAGGGATTGTGATTTTTTCTTCTTATTGACTGCAAGGGTCAGTGAGCAAGCAATATTTGGGTAAGTGATTGTGAATCGTTTATATTGTCTGTTCAGGGTAAATAATTATAAGTTAGCTATGTTAGTGATGTGTACTGCTTATATCAACATGTGTACAGTTTTTGGACAGTAAGCTAGCTATGTAGGTGATCGTGATGGCTAGTGCATTATTTTTAGAGACAGCTTAGCAGCAGTGAGCTATCTATATAGCAATGTATATAAACAATGTAAGTGATAGTGTACTGTTTGTTTTGGCAGTTTAGGGTCGATGAGCTAAAACTGGAAGTTTCTATTTACAGTTTTGGTGATCAACCAACAAGCCTGTCCTCTGCATACACAGAGCAGCATCTTTTGAATAGTACAGCCATCTTCATCATTTATCCACTGTGTACACTATACAATGTACACCAATAATCTGCTCAACGATTACTAACACAATCATTTGTTCAAATGTAATTACTGTACGCAATACACTGTTCACTATCCTGTCCATTCACAGTACTCTAAAGATAATACACCAGTCCAGCACTACACGCAATCAATGTACAAAGTACGGTCCACTAACTGTACACAGTCCTCTATTCTTCACTGTATGAAGTACTACATGTATAAAGATAATACACCAGCACTTGGCTTTAAAATCACTGTACAAAGCACTCAGTCCAATCAATGTCCAAAGCACTCTGTCGACTGGATGTACAATTGTACTATTGTACACTAGTACTCCACCCAATGATTGCTGTACACACTACACTTGATTGTACATCAATATTCTCTCAACTGGCTGTCCAATCACAGTTTAAGTGTCCTTGTCCTCCTGACCTGGAGTAACCACACATTTAGAATATTTACACACTCCTTTTGGTTTGTTATCACACTCAGTCATCAATGTAAGGAAGCCAGAAAGCCTGAAAAATACAAAATAAATAAAAATATATAAACTGAATTATCACAAAGGAAACACTTGTATCACCAAATCCCTAAATAAATAATCGTATGTCAGAAAGAGTTTTTCTAACTTAACTTTATCTGGTATAAACCAATTTAATCTCTTCGTGTTGATTATATATTACAAAGTCACAAAATAAAGTACACATTGAAAAATTGTTTGCTATATCCCATCATTCAATACGAAGTAGAAAAGAAAAAAACAACACTCAGGTATTCAATGCAATAAGTTGGACATACAACTCACCATGTTTGTACAGGCAGTTGCCAGCATCATGTATTTGGGGTTGAACTGCACACATTGGACAGGACCGGGGTGATCACAGTTGAGCACAGATACCCTCACTCCTGTGTCTGTGTTCCAGGTATGTATCCTTCCGTCAGTAGAACCTGTGACAAATACATGTTTCTTCTTCTGTAACTGACTAGTATATGAAGGAAAACCTAGCTCCTGGTTAGTGTCTACCTATCATACCAGTTATGTCAATACACACATTAATACTGTTCACAGCAACATCTCCCCAGGATTTCAGGATGTCAGAAAACATCCAGGGCTATCATTTGACCTTTGACATTCAGTTTTGTCATTTAACTTTTCCCTTAAAATTTAGATGGTCTATACATGATCTTTTAAACCCAAAGATAGCCCTGTACATTTTTGCACACACAAATAAAACTAAGGGCTAAGGCCTATAACAATGGCATGATAATTAGATACTGGCCTGACCTATACTAGACTTGCTAATATTTGAGTAAGAGTAGCACAGGGACTGAACATTTTTTTTTACCTTTTCCAATGCTTTTTATTCAACTTCAAATCTAGCCTTTTGTCTTGGTATAATATGAATATAGACAACGTTTCATCAGATTCCAATCTTTGCGAAAACCGTTGATCAATCAGAATGCAAAAGGCAATGAATTCTGCACAGATTTTGTTCACCTTTGGCTTTGAACTTTGCCGATGTTTAATAGAAATCCTAACCAAATTTCTTCAGAAACCAGTCATATTTGATAAAGTTATTGTGCTGAAACCATCAACCAATCTGAAGGAGCGCAGCATGCAAATTAACTTTGCACAAGTTTGGTAATTTTAAGCTTAGCCTTAGTTTTTCCGTTTGTATACAAAAAAAATGTATTGTATTTGCTTTACAAGATTCACGAATATTTTATAATATTTAAAAAAGAATCCTGCGGAAACTGAAGTGTTGACCATTTAGGGCACAATACACTAATTAAGATTGCAATGAATTTTGCTGGGCTGTTTTCGTTTATCGTGATCTGAACGGTTGAAATGGTTGGACCACAGTTGTTTGTTTATGAAATAAGGTTGGACCCAGTAATCTAATGCTGCTTTTAGGCGAGCCTTATCAAAGCCTTGCAAGGCCTACATTAACTTTTACAAGTCCACCAGGATTAATGCCCGAAAATTATATGTTTAAAAAACGGATGCACCGGTTGTTCCACATAAAAGAACAGCCCCTGGTCATTGTACATGCCTACCAAGTTTCATCAAAATTGAACAATGTTTAAGTTAAGCCCTCTTAGTCAGAGGTGCTGGACACAACTATATATGATGTATATTTATACACATATCAGTGTGTCCAGCACCTGTGATCTTAGTCTCTGATAGTCTGGAGTCACCTTATAGCTATCTGGCTGAAATCTTTGAAAGCAGATTTCCCAAGCATGATATTGCAGTCCTAGCTGATTAGGGAAGAACTTTTCTGTTTCAACTGAGGAGGGATATCTTTTTCTCCGACTAATTATATATATGTTGACTTGTGTTTGTGGACTTTGCTGATCTTCTTGATGCTGTTTTTCAGATGCTTGGATACACCGAGCACTGTTTGAAAAATATAAGTTCAAACTTACCACAAAGAGCAAACTGAGAATCAGGACTGAACGATGCCTCCAAAGGAATCCCTTTGTTGTTTTGAAACCCCTGTCAAGGATATAAAGAAAACAGCATAAAATACAGACAACTTATAGAAACCCTTTACTTATGATTTATTTTCATGTGAAAAAAACCCCAACTTAAATCTAGGAAATCTACTGGAACAAGCCCTAGACATCATAGATATAAATACTTGGTAATTCTTCTGGAACAGGCCCTAGATGCTTTAAAGATGGCCGCCTGTTGGCCAGTTTGACTTCCCCATCAGTCCAAAAATTTGATGTGCATACCTTTGGACTATGGAAAACCTTCATTTGAAAGATAAAGATCCCTCCAGTGCTTTCTGAGAAATAGTGCTATCAAAATGTGTTTAAGGACGGACGGAAAGAATGACAGACAATGGATGAAGGGTGATTAGAATAGCCCACCATCTGATGATGGTTGGTTAAAAAGGCAATTTCAACAGAAAGATACCAACATGTACATGATTCTGTCAACAGAAGTAAGGTAATCGGGAGCACTTTTTTTTTACTACAGTAAAAGAGCAGAGAAAGTGGAAGATATGCATTTGCCTAATTTTTCATCTGCCCCAACTCAAAACACTTGTTAATTTGTTACAATTTAGAATAAATTTACATATATATATATATATATATTGGTACTCTTATTTAAACATCAATTCGGAAAAAAATCCACTCCTCCTGTTCACAGTTGGAAACAGGGAAGATTATCAACCCTAATGGGTGAAAAAACATTGTGCCAATAAAAAGGCTTATTTCCTCAACAGCATAACTCACCATGAATGTCTGAAGGGGCGTTCCCTGGAAAGCATCAATCAAGCGCAGGACTTGTCCGTTAGTAGAGATGAGGATGAGCTTACCGTCTGCACTAAACTTCATCCCTGTCCAGTCACAATCACGATCTTGTGACAATTTGAATGAAGCAAATGGTCCCTGTTGAAACAACACTTCAAGTATTAAACTGAAACATAATATTTTTTTCAGAAGAGATTTTAAAGAGCATTATAAAGATCTTTGAACAAATGCTGCAGTAATTTGCTCTTTGACCTTCATCATGAGAGTACTGACCTGTTTGTAGTACGGAACATGACAGAAGTGAAAAACTTTTTCTCTTAAATTTTGAGTCAAATTACATGTCCTTTCAAGTCAAAGCTAACTTTAGAGAGTCAGCAATGTATTATCAAAGGTCTATTGAAAGCCTGCCAGAAGCTATGGTTCAGGACCATGGTTTGTTTTTGGTTTTAACACCTCAAATCAGCTTACATCATGTGAAAACAGGGCAAGGTCCAATCAGACATGGAAAAACGACAAAGTGGTTGCTATATACCCACTGTACTTTGCTAGGATGTATTCATATGAATAATCTTACCTTATCAAAGGATCTCAGATCATACAATTTGACAATCTCTGAATTGATTCCTGCTGCAAAGATGAGGCCATCAGGGTCAAATGCTGCTACTGGACGGCCGGGCAAATGCATCAAACCCTGATTACAAAAGAAAAAAGTGTTAGAGTTTCTAAAACTTTAAAAAGTCAATAATATTTAAACCAACAAGTCCATGATAAGGTATATTTCAGCATAGACAATGAATGCATGTTAAGTCTTTCCTTAGACAAGTAGAGTAGATACAGAATAAATATAACTTTAGGTGGAAATCTGAATATTTTATACATATTTTTGTTCTTTTTTTTTAACGATTCATCTTGCATTTTATTGCCTAGAATTGCAGATGCTTTATCCAATAATTATATCTAGAAAAAGGGAAAGGCATTCCCTGAAAAGTTGTCTAGTGCACTTACTAATAGCGGACAGATCTAGCGTGAACATTTACAGAGAATACCATATCAGTATTATAATATGACTTTCACCTGGCAATTCTGTGACCGTAGGTCCCACAGCCGGATAGTTTTGTCCAGGGATCCCGATAGGAACGAGTCGTTGATGGGTGACATGTTTAAGGTCACAACCCTGGTAAGAGGCAGATTCCAATTATAATTATATAAGTACATACAGTTACTAATATTTTGCAATATATATAAATATTTTCACATTTTTTTCAATGAGAGAGAATCATGGTATGATGGAATCACATTAGTTCTGTTCCAATACATTTTAACCTATTTATTTAAAACACATTTGCAAAATGAAAATTATTTTAAGTTTACATATATTTATGAAAATTAAGTATGTAATTATCAGTATTTTTGGTTAATAACGCAATCCATTTGGAACTGAACTCATTTTTGCCAATCAGTATAGACGAACAGTTTCACGGGAATGATACAAGGAGTTGATTTAATGTAAGAATGAAGCAAAGACTTACTTCTTGGTGTGTCCAGGGAAGTACCGGATATATTTGTTATCATGGAGGGACAAATATCGTATGGTATCTGAAATACATAATTTACTAAATGAACATCAACCAATTTGTTTGATATACCATTATCTCCATATCCTGTATAAACAGAATAATCAACACCAATAATTAATATCCTATTCTTCTTGGAACAAAATTATGTAAAAAGATAAATCCTAGATCTACACAACTAATGATGATTAGATTCTAACTGTAACACTAGAGTAATCTTAGTTTTATAATCTAGTACCAAGACATATACTTTTCTAAAAGGCAATTCATGCTTGTATTTCTGACTTTATATTTTACTTACATTAACAGTATGTTATGTTCTTAACTTACCTGAAAATAATTAAAAACATTCTAAAAATCACTTCATAAAATTGTCTGAAAAAAACATGTGCATCGTTTCTTACCATCAACCTTTGTTGAGCTGTGAAGAGCAGTGTTAACTGCATGAGTGTAGCAAATGAGATCAACTCCATATTTCTTGCTGTTCAATGTCCGTTTCGGCCTTTTCAGGAAAAAAAAGAAAAAATACATTCAACTTTTGGTTGTTTCATATAAAAAATTTGTGAAAAGAGCGATATGATCATATTTGTTTTTGGCATCCGTAAAAATATCTAGCCCCAAGGCTTTTTCACACTATTTTTTGGCAATGGAATCTAGATCTCTGGATTGGAGAATTTGTTTGGTAGCAAACCAAATTGCAATTTTTTGGAACTTTGTTTTACCAATTTTATTGAGTGAAGTCTAATATATAGCTTATAGACTAAAAGGACATTCTTATTTATGAAATATATATTTCGTTTTCAATGTGCGATGTTGCAACTCATCAGAAAACATGATAAAAGTTTGAAAGTAAGATATTTGAATTGCAAAGTTTTAAACGAATTTTGGAATAAATTCCATTATTTTCCATCCCACCATAGGAGCATATTATAGACCACCATCAGACAAAGGACACTCACTAGAACTAGAAATCTCTATGAACAGAGTAGGCCAAAACAAGAACACAATAACATACGCAAGTGGAGATTTCAACTTACCACACATAGACTGGCAAAACAACACAACCATACCAGGCAAACAAGAACAAAAACTTCACCAAAACCTTCTCCAGGAGGTCATAGACAACTCCCTCACACAAATAACGACAAAGCCCACAAGAGAATACCACATACTCGACCTGACACTTACAAACAGACCATCAATCATTAACAAGACTGAAACCACACCACCTATAAGTAAATCTAACCACACCACCTATAGGTAAATCTGACCATGACATAGTCTACACTGAAATTGACGTTCGACTGAAAAGAATAAGAGAACCTAGAAACATATACCTCTACAATAAAGCTAACTGGAACAACATAAGAAACGACCTCACACTTCTAAACACAAAACATAACGAACAACCTAACCAAACCGCAGACAATCTTTGGAACACGTTCAAAACAACACTTACTAATTCAGTCACCAAAAATATCCCTCAAAAATACATGACATACAAATCCAAACTCCCTTGGATAACACATTCTCTCCTTCAACTCATGAGAAAATGTAAACAATTACACACGAAAAGCAAAACAAAACATGAACTTATACAGAAATACAACTCAGCAAAATCAGAACTACAAAAACAAACACGCAACGCGTATCTTAACTACATAGAAAAGATGATCAATAGACGAACCCAGCACACCCTCGCCAAGCAAAAAAATCAATTGCAAAAAACTATTCTCCTACTTAAAAACCACAAGAAAAGAAAACACTTATATAACAGCATTACAAAAAGACGGACAACTAAAAACTGACACTAAATGCAAGGCAAATATACTAAACGAACAATTTGAATCTGCCTTCACCACAGAACAGGACTGTCCAATACCAGACAAAAGACCTTCTCCACACCCTCTCATGCCAGAAATACACATTACAGAACAAGGCATCTATAAACAACTCAACAACATCAACCCACATAAAGCAACAGGACATGACAATATACACGGCAGAATACTTAAAGAATTAAGTGACATCACAGCACCCATTCTCACAAAAATCATCACCCACTCACTCACTACAGGAACACTACCATCAGATTGGAAACATGCAAACGTAAACCCAATATACAAAAAAGGAGACAATTACAACCCAGCAAATTACAGACCAATTTCACTAACCTGCATCACATGTAAACTCATGGAACACATCATAATAAGCGCCACAATGACACATCTGGAGAACAACAACATATTATATGACCTACAACACAGCTTTAGGTCCTCCAGATCCTGTGAAACACAGCTCACCACATTCATACATGATCTCGCATCAAACAGCTACATCAACAAACAGACAGACAGACAAACTCCACAACCACACATTACACCAAGTAGAATCCAGCAAATACGTAGGCTTAACATTACAAAATAACCTACGATGGGACAAACATATTTACAACATCACAACCAATGCCAATAGGTCCCTAGGTTTTCTAAAACGAAACTTAAAAATAAACTCACCACATATAAAAGAACACACATACAAAGCACTAGTCAGGCCAAAACTTGAATACTGCTCTGGCTTCCATTTGCGATCAACACAAACCAAATAGAGCAGCATGCTACGTAAACACCAGATACCACAACACTAGCACTGTAACAGATATGATCCACAAATTACAATGGCCAACACTACAAACACGGCGCTGTCACACAAGAATTATCCTTTTTCACAAAACTGTACACCAAATTGTAGCTATAAACCCCAACACAAATACTCACACCCAAAGACCCTCGAACCAGACATGCACACCCTCACGCATACAAACACATATCTGCTACAAAGGACACCTACAAATATGCATTCTTTCCACATAATGGAATCTCCTTCCCATAGCAGCAGTACTTTGCACAACACTAGAGGACTTCAAGGCACACTAACCCTATGCAGCACTCATCACACGCTAAAACATATGCCAGCATTTGATCTATACAGTGCACAAAAAAACACCTAATCACTGTAAATAACCCCCTTTTTCACGCCTCTGCAATAGGACCCCCGAGGACATAAACATCAACATTGATGGAGCCCCCGTAAAATAAAGAAGAAGAATGGTCTATTCTGGTATACCATTTTACCTTTGGGAGATTATCCTTTACAGGTTTACAGCTGAACATTCCCTTTAGATTGTGTCAGTTTTGTCTTCTAGTGGAAGTGTTGGGTGGGGAGGTGGGTGTTAACTGCTTTTGTATAAGTCTGTTAGGTAAGTACGGTTGGGACCAGGTATGATGTTCATATACTTGAAATAAATATATCAAAATGTAACCACGCATGGTCATCACACTAAAATCGTGTACAGTACTGTGCTGTAACGATCAATGCAAGTTTTTGTCTTCAAATGATCGAACTATTGGGAGCAGGGCATACAGGAGTAGGTTCTACTTTCCTATTGTTATTTTTTTTTAAAGGATGCCATTTTAGGTCAGTTTTGATATTAATGTTTGTGTCGTTGTGAGTTGGGACAGGGAATGATTTCATTTTTATGGAATAGACAATCCCCGCCAAAAGAAATCTCCACACATGGGTCATCACACTTACGTTCCATTTTGACAGTCGTAAATTACAATAGAGTCGTCATCACTGCTCGATATAAGTGTTTCGCCATTCGCTGAATAATCTAAACTAGTAATTCTATCTGTATTTTCTCTAAATATTTTAGCAACACGAAAATTCTGCACGACAGAGTCTGTGAGTTTCATGCTTGCCGGTTCTCTCATTTCAACTAGTTTTTATATTGATGGCGTCTAATCGTATTCACTGCGGACCTAATTTGAGTGGAATTAATTATGCAGAAACAAGTAATATTTTGTAGCATTCTCGATGTAATTTTTTTTATCGGCAACTGTGGTTTATTTTAAATAATAAAAAATTTTCAGTACATTTATTTTATTATTTTATATAATAATCTAACCTGAACAATACAGTCGTTAATGTTAAATGCAAAAGTAGCGGACATCTTTCATGTTCTATAACTAACCTTGGCCGATCAAGCCTAGGCCTAGCAGACGAAATATTGTTATCACCTTTGTCGGGATAACAGTCTGACATAGCTATGTGGTAAGTTCAGAGTCCGGAGATACCAAATGATAAAGACTGCCTTACAGACGACAATACACCAGCGACCTCCAAAACTAGTTTAAGCAAGATGTCTTTTTATAATTTATATCTTCATGACACTGACAACACAAATCATTCCAGGACAGCCTAAGACTAAGAGCCTACTTCATAATCACATAGTATGAAAATATTCTCTTTCAGAATCCACATTTTCGTTTCAATGCTGTAATATTGTCGACAGGAAAAATGTGTGAAATATATTATATACAGTACAGTAGAGTAGATCTGTAACTTAGATAGTAAATTATTACAAAACGGCCAAGGCATAATAGTTAGGCTATTTAAGCAGTGCAAAAGTGTCCTGGGATTAATGTGTTCAGCATGACTGCACAGTGCTGGGTGACCATGCAAGTTACACTCAGTTGATGAGAGCATGTAGAGTTGGGAGCTTGAGGTCCCAGATTCAAATCCATGTCATTTTCCCACTCCTTTTACAACATCATACCGTGCAACGAATGTAGCTCTATCAAACAACCTTATACGTCATATCCATAACTGGTCTTGATGCTTACATGTAGCTCCAGCCAATGTCATTAGGTCTATTATATTCCATTTTCTGTAAGTTCCTTAGCTGGTAATTAAAAAGAAGTTTCTGTATTGTTTCCCAGTTGAACTAAGCCGAGCAAACTTTTGCAGATGGTACTGGCATGCGTTGTTCATGGTTTTAACAACATTGTATGATTTTGGAATGGAACATCTATATTCTATTACCTTCATCTCAATTTGATGGTTTTCTGCAGTCGCATCTACATTATAACGACTGCAGACAAAAATAAATCATGGCCATCCATGCTCTAATCTTAATGCTCTTGTTTAAAACTTCACATCACACCCTTCAGATCACTGCTGAACATTGCCTTGCCAGCAACACTATATCCTGGATCCAGGGGCGTTTCTAGGATATTTGAAAGAGGGGGCGTAAAAGCAAATCTTTCGCCGAGCGGAGCGATGCGAAAAAAAATTTGGACTTTTTTTTGCTAAAAAACTACGGATCACCCATCGGATGGGCGAANGGGGGGGGGGGGGGGGCGTACGCCCATTACGCCCTCACCTGGACCTGCCCCTGGGATCTGCCCAGTGCAAGGATTAATTTGTGACCAATTCAATTATTTTTACAGCATGAAGATAAGTCATTACTTTGCCTCATTTGAAATTTCACACTTATTAATTTTTTGCCATGATAGTTATCATAAAATGAAGTTAATGTGTTATATTTTAAGAACTTTTTATGTATACATGCATTTCAGGGGACTTGTGTTAAAGTGCTGTTCACACTTTCCAGCAACATTGAGAGTGTCAGTGACTCATACAAGACTGGTAACTAGGATATCTTATTTAACTACTACATGCAGCAAAGAGCATGTTTCTATGAGATCAAATACTATTAAGATAAGAAACTGTAAACAATTCACAACTGATCAGAATTTAAGCATGGATTCTAAAGAAAGAAGCAACCAATTAAGGGAAATATCGCATCTTCATAGGATTCATATAAAGGACATTTTTGAAAGTTCCCTGGATGCAGTCATGCCGAGGAAAATGGTGAAGAGAGTTTTAAACCTATCCAGGGATAATGAGACACTAACTGTGGATGGCAGGGAGTACGCCTTGCATAAAAATTTGAATGTAGTTGGGTTTGGGAAGGCAGTGATGGGTATGGCCAGGTGTGTTGATGACCTGCTACGTCCGCATATCGTCGATGGGGTCATCAGTGTACCACATGGATGTCACGAACTCCTCGGCAGTGCCGGTAAGAGGTAATTCCAAGTTTTTCTTTCACTTGACTTTTCATTGTCAATAGTTTACAGATATAGAACTCGTAGCATTTTCTTTCTGAAATTGGCCTTTTTGCTCTTTTAAATCTTAAATTATCATTAGCTCACCTGCCCAAACTGTAATAGTAAATGAATTTATGGCATTATGTACAGTGCATTGTCGTTGTCTGTCATTGGTTTGTCATTTGTCACTTAAAAGTCTACAGAAACATGTTATAAGTGGAAATGATAAATTGATATTGGAAATGATTATTATCATAATGGGTATATTAATGAAGTGTGTGGTTCCCCCAACCAGAGGCAGAGGGGTGAGACCTAATGGGGGAAATATAATTAAATCTTCAAAATTGTAATCTTTGAGTAGGGAAAAACAGATTTTAACTGCATTTGGTCTGGAACAATCTTTATCTATGAGGATTCGTTGTTGTATAAACAGAGGGTGTTGCCCTTATTGGGGCAGAGGGTCATGAATTTTTGGGATAATCATCAGACTGTGAAAGCACTTTTGGTTTTGCAAAATAATCATAAGATGATGAGGATTAGATTCTAAACTTATAAAGGTACTTTAGATTGACATTACATCAATCAATCCTGAAATGATGAGCACCAGAATCTATATAATAAATGAGGTCAGCCCATTCTTGAGTATAATATACTCAAGAATGGGCTGACATCACCCCACAAAGTGGGGTAAGGGGATGGGTAATTATTATAATTAGTGAAAGGTCCTCAATTGACATCTCTGAAAGTTGCTGGTGAATTTTACTAAGGTGGCCATTGAGGCTCAGAGTTTTTGAAAAAAACTTCTTTATTTATATAGCATGACATACAAAAGGTTTATATAGTCCAAATGGTATTAACAAAATTGTTAAGTGCTTGTGTCATACAGTAGGTGTACCTAACTCTGATGGTTTATGATCACAGTGAGCAGTTGCTGGAACCGGGAAGTAAGATAACTGTGTACGAGGGAGCCAAGAACAACCTACCCGATAAGGACGCCCACCAAGCTGCCAAGGCTATTTGGGACCTGGTGAAGGATTCCACAAAAAGTGATCTACTCCTGGTTCTTGTATCAGGTAATCTTTTTTTCCCATAGTTTTGAACGTACATTGTATTTGTCGTTTGGAATGTGCAGGTACTATGACATCTACCGGATCGTAACCTTTGGCTAGTGAAGATAAGATTATTATTGATGCAATGGATCATGGAGCCTCTCTAAAATGCTTTTATTAGCCCACCATCATCTGATGGTAGGCTATTCAAATCACCCTGCGTCCATGGTCTGTCCGTCGTCTGTCTTCCGTCCTTAAACAATTCTTGTTAGCGGTATTTCTCAAGAAGTACAAGAGGGATCTTTCTCAAATTTTATATGTAAGTTTTCCGTGGTCCTTAGCTGTGCAAGGCAACTTTTGAGACTGATCGGATAAACAACATGGCCGACAGGCAGCCATCTTGGATTTTGATAGTGAAAGTCCATGTTATATGTAATTTAAATGTGCTGAAGCATTGTGTTAAATGCTGTTGAAATATTTCTTCCCAAAATTATTTGGACCACCAATATATCATTTGGGCCAGTGCTTCAAATTTTTTACTCGCCCCCCATTTTTCTTTCGGGCCAGCAAATGCAGGTTCCTCACTTATCCTTTATTGTTCATGTTTACTTTTGAAACTGATCAGTTAAACAAAATGGCCTACCGACAGCCATCTTCGATTTTTGACATTGAAGGTTTGTTAGTACTATTTCTCAGGAATAACTTGAGGGATCTTTTTCAAATTTGATATGTAGGTTCCCCTTGATCCCTCGTTGTGCATGTTATATTTTGAGACTGATCATAAAAACAAAATGGCTAAAGGAAGAACTAAACAGATCTTTCTCAAATTGCAATGATCGATTCTATTTCTTTCACATTAAGTACTGTACTAGTAAATATGTGAAATGACAAACTCACTTTGAAGGTTGGCTTTCATACACATCAGTATTAAGTTTAGATCAAAAGTTACCTCAAGGTGCATTTACTGTTAACATGACTCGATCAAACAGATTAGAGGAAAGAAGAGAAATGACGGAACTGACAAAGAACTAATGAAGATGGTACAATGGTGGGAAAGTTCCTTTTGGGATCTCTTGTTTGGCATATATTAAAAAAAATATTCTCTCCTCCAGATACAAAAAAGGTAAATGGTTAATCCATTGAGTCTGCTGCTTGGTCTTCAGTGACTAGTTCTTTTTTATTATGAACCTAATTGATTCAGACTTAGCAGAGATCATGATTTTGAAAAGGAGATTTTATAATAGTAAAAAAAAAGGATTCAATAATGTTAAAATGGGGCCTTTAAACCCTCCAGATAGCTGGAATACAAAATAGAAGAAAAAAACCCAGAATGAAACAAGTGTATTTCAAATTTCATCCTTGCTACTTCCATAACGGCTCAAGTCTGATGCTTAATTGTGGATGTTCAAAAGTGACCAATAGGGGCCCAAATGAGGCCACACCTAGTGGTTAATGTTGACATATAAACTTTTAATGATTTAACTTGACAATTGCAAATAAATCCTGTTCAGGTCTTTGGGATATTGAAAAAGAGAGCGATTCAGGCCTCCAGCCCTCTTGTTTACTTCATATTATTCTATGGTTTTTGAAAATTGAAATTCATTTCACTATCTGCATTTTCCGTAAATAAACTCAATGCCTAAAGAACCGTATTATTCAGACATATTTTAACACTGTAAGCCTACCTTTATAGGAGGAGGGTCAGCGCTCCTGCCTCTGCCTAGACTCCCTATCACTTTGGAAGAGAGTGCAGAGCTAACCAAAGTTTTGTCAATCCATGGGGCAAACATCAATGATCTTAATGTTGTTCGTAAACAAACAGAGGTGCTCAAAGGTGGAGGACTTGCAAGAGATGCAAAGCCCTGCAAGGTAAGATTATTCAACAAACTGTATTGTACATTGTTATTAACAATTGCTTCAAGCCAATGTAAAATATTGTGCTAAAAATAATATGTCTGCAATTAAATTTAGTATTATATAAGGAATTCAAACTCCATGGTCCCCTAGCTTGCTGAATATAGAATATTGAGAGATTGTTTCTAAAATGTACTACATTATTTTCCCGTGGAGATTCACTTTGTGGTTTGTAATGACTCAGTATCACAACCAATGGTGAATCAGTTGATGATCAAATGTTTTCTGAAATTTTTGTGTTTACAGGTTATCTGTCTGATTCTATCAGATGTTATTGGAGATAAGATAGATATCATCAGCAGTGGACCAACTGTGCACGATCCCAGCTCTCCTCACATCTGTCTTGAAATATTTAGGCGTCTTGATGTGAGTCAACTTATTCCGAAATCAGTGACTCAAATGCTGAAGCAAAAAATTAGCGAAGAAAGACACACAAAAAATCCCAGTGACGTTGCTGCTCCAACATTGGAGAAAAGGCTACAGGAGTATGCTCATGTGCAGAACATTATAGTGGGAAGTAATGCCATTGCAACCGAGGCTGCTCAAAGAACTGCCACCAGTCAGGGCTATGTGTCTGTCATTCTCAGTACTGAACTGGATGGGGAGGCTAGATCTGTTGGTGCAATGTTTGCAAAGTTGGCAAAATATCTGATTTTGTGCTTTGGTTATCTACCTGCTGATGTTGGCTCACAAGAACTGGTGAAAGCAGAATTAGAACTTTGTAAGTATTTGCCCAAAAAGCTTCTAAAACGGATGGCTGCCACAAGTGATGAAGCACACCATGTGGGGAAGGGGGTGTGCATAGTAGCTGGAGGGGAGACGGTGGTAACTGTGGTAGGAAATGGCCGAGGGGGCCGCAATCAGGAGCTTGCAATAGCCTGTGCAGTGGAACTTAATAACATCATACCTGCAAAATTGGCCAATGCCTACCAGGTGACTTTCCTAAGCTGTGGTACAGATGGTCAGGACGGTCCTACACCGGCAGCGGGAGCCATCGTTGACCTTCAGTTTGTCAAACAGTGTGAGGAATCTGGATACAATGTAAAGAAGTATCTTGATGATAACGATACTTTCAGTCTTTTGGAGACAGTGAACGGTGGTAACAATCAAGTGACCACTGGTATAACAGGCACCAATGTCATGGACATACAGTTACTGCTCATTAACCCTCTATAATGGACATACAGTTACTGCTCATTAACCCTCTATAACGTACATACAGTTACTGCTCATTAACCCTCTATAACGGACATACAGTTAGTGCTCATTAACCCTCTATAATGGACATCATGACTGACTTTACACTGAGGTAACTTCTGAATACAGCAGCATAACCAATTAGAGAGGAGACATAAGAGCATCTGTGAGTAGTTTGAAATGTCAGAAATAGCCAGCGTTGTTGTTATGGCTTGGTCAGTTTAATTTTGTTTAACGTCCTGTTATCAGCTAAGGTCATTTAAGGACGTGCCTCCATGTGTGCAGTGTATGCGTGCTTGCATGTGTGTATGCAGGAGACAGGGTATGTTAGTGTGTTTGCTTCCTTGTGATAGCGCTTAGCGCTCTGATGCTGACTTTATAGTACTATCTCACTGGAATACCATGCCGAAGGCACCCAGGTGGCAGAATACAGTAGAAATGGCCCGACTCTGATAAACAAGGCACATGTCGAGGAAATGTAAACACAGCGGATTTACCCTACACAACACATGTATACATGTATATATATTTGTAAACTGCATCACATTTACAATACATATAAAGTACTGAGAAGTGTACAAACCTCTTTTTTCTATGTATGTCACTTGTGTGAAAACCATGGTTACCACATAAAAAATTACCAAAAAATGCCAAAAATTGTTACTTTTGACCCAAAATTTGACCCCCGCAACTAGTATTTTTTTTCCTAAGTTCTGTCTGAAATTACCTACCTGGTTGCAGAATTATCTGGGTCCCAGTAAAGTTGTAAAACTTGATTTTTTGCAATTTTGCGTCGTGTGCTGTTGTCAAAATTTTATTTCCTTTTTTTTTTTTTTTTTTACAAATGTGAAGCTCACATAGCCCACTTCATCATGCTTAAACCAATTTTAGTACAGTTTTATTTTGATATTTTTTAAACATATCATTATACAGGGGTTAGCCATTTAACAAAAATATCACCCATGGCCACAACCCTCTACTGTATACTGCTACCCCAGCACAGCATTCTCCCTGGTCTCATTATACTGACAACGGGTGAATCAGTTGTTGCCATTCCCCTAAGTGCTGAAAGTTAAGCAGGGAATAACAACTACCATTTTTAAGGACTTTGGTATGTCCCGGCCTGGGAACATAATCCATTGCCTCCTCACCTGGGCGACGCTCAACATTAAGGCCAAAAGTGAGGTAATGCCAAGGAAGGTGCTAGGAAATAAAAGGTAGTTAGAAATAGGAAGATTTAGATCCCAAATATTGCAATGGGTGCGGCAGATATATTTTGTAAAAGCAGAGTAAAAGTGATGGTAACCCAACACAATCATAAGGCACTGAGATCCAATGACGTCCTCCAGGTAGTGGTCTGTGGTCTTTAATGTACAGGAATTGAAGGCGGATACTAGGGTATTCAGCAGAGATCATCCAAGAGAGTTTAATATATAATTAAATAAATGATGGAGCAACAACAGGACAATGTTTAGCACTGACTTGTCTAAGTAGGCTACGCCAGCCTTACACTTTTTTTGTATGTGAGTGTTTTGTGCACTCAATAACTGAATGTGTGAAAAGACTAAAAAATTGAAAATATATTGAAATCCAGAAACAACGTTATAAGTATCCAGTACTACCTGGTATGTTGAAAGTCTCTTGCGGTGGAAATTTGCACTGACTTTGTGCTTGAGATAAATAATCGGTGCAAGAAACAGGAAGGAGAATGTAAGTGACATTATATTGAATATCTTGCAGTAAAATTGTCAACATTACACAATATGAATTAAGGTATCAAGAGGTAAAATATAGAAAAGCTATCTAATCCTGTATCTGACCTGTACAGTGTCAACTACATTCTTCAGTGAGTACACTTCTATATTTGGTAGTGTTGCTGATACAACTACTTTTACTTGTCTATTTACGCTTTTTCTTTGTGGTATTTTTTTTAATAAGCAGAATAATTTTTAGTAGTACATGAAATGATTAGTATATATAAGTAGTAAAATTTCACTAGAAATATTTATACTTAAATTATATAAAGGTTTTTAGCTCACCTGGCACGAAGTGCCAAGTGAGCTTATGCCGTGGCGCGGCGTCCGTCGTCAATATTTTACTTTAAATGACTTCTTCTTAACCGAAAGGCCTAGGGTGTCGATATTTGGCCTGAAGCAAACTGGGATGAAGGGCTACAAAGTTTGTTAAAATTAATGACCTTTACCCATTTTCAAGGTCACAGGGGTCGGATATGTTAAAAACTTTAAACATCTTCTTCTCGATAACCAAACTTCCCAGGGAGATGGTATTTGGCCAGTAGCATGCTTGGGTGAAGGGCTACCAAGTTTGTTCAAATGAATGACCTTCAATTATATTCAAGGTCACAGGGGTCAATTGTCTTAAAAAACTCTTTAAACAACTTCTTCTGAATAACGAAAATGCCCAGGCTGATGACATTTGGCCAGTAGCATGCTGAGATGAAGGGCTACAAAGTTTGTTCAAATGAATGACCTTCACCCATATTCAAGGTCACAGGGGTCAAATATGTTAAAAACTTTAAACA